GCGGAATTATTATTAGCAGTTTTCCTTGAGTAAATTATGAGGAAAATCAGGTCCTACTGTAAAGTGGTAAATATAGGTGTAATAGTGACTAGAAATTATAGTAAAGTGGATAAAAAATTTTATGGGTAGACAATCTATATGTGAGGTGAGAACGTTGGGGGGTGTTTATTGTTGTTTAGACAGTGAACGATTATATTTTTGGCAACCTAAACAGGGTGAGTACGCAAATGAGCACAAACTCTAACATCATTATTGGAGGTAGGAAACTGGTTACGTGATGGAGCTGCACTCGTTGAGGGCTCCTGGCTGAGTCATTCTGACTTGTTCTGAATGTGGTCTTTGAGAGTACTTTTCACTGGCTGAGAGTACATGTGTTGTATGGCAGGCAGAGTTCTGTGCACTTGTTCAGAACTATGCAGATGAGTCTCTGACTGGACCTGGCTGTGAAGCAAACTCTGAGAGGCTGGTGGGAGTAGTCTAGTGAGAGATGGAAATGAGATTTGTAGTTGTCTAAGTTTGAGAAGCCTCTCCCTTGAACTGTGATGATGTTAACTTTTGGCTGGATGGATGAAAATTGGATGAAAATTGTAAAAGCAAAAAAAGGAAAGTGGCTGTGGAGATGGGGCTGAGCGGCATGGGAAAATTTTTGATAGGAAGAAAGTGGAAGGTGAGAAAGTCGGGAGAAGAGAGTGAGAAAGGTTAGAACTGTTGGGGAACTAAAGAATTGGAGGCAACAAGGTGAGAATGGGATAACTAGAGAAGACAAGAAGCAAAAATGTGAGAAGGTTTGGAGTTGGGAAGTGTGGAAGTGTGGAAGTGTGGAAGTGTGGAAGTGTGGAAGTGTGGAAGTGTGGAAGTGTGGAAGTGTGGAAGTGTGGAAGTAAAGGTTGGAAGTGAAGTTGAGAAAAGGACTTGAGAAGACAACAAGGTGAGATTGGAACTGGACAGCTAGACAACTAGACGAGGGAAGAAGCAAAAATGGGAAAGGGTGGAAGTAAAAAAAGTGAGAAGTGAAGTTTGAACTTGAACTTGAGAAGACAACAAGGTGAGAAGAGGACAAGGGAAGAAGCAAAAAGTGGATAAGTGGGTGAGTAGAGAACTGTGGAACTGTGGAGACCGGATAAGTGGATAAGGGGACAAGGGGACAAGAGGGAAAAGTAGACTTGGTGGGAACTGGCTCAGGGTGAAGTGGAAGTAGGGAAGGTGAAAACTGTGGAAGTTTGGAGGGGACGGGACAAGGGGACGACCAGACAAGGGGAGAAGTAGACTAGACTTGGGGACTGTGGAAGTGTGGAAGTTGGGGAGGGGGTAACCCGAGAAGCAGACAAGAGGAGAAGGTGGGAACTGGCTGAGGGTTTGTGGAAGTAGGGAAGGTGAACTGTGGAAGTTTGGAGGAGATTATAGGGTAAAAACACCGACTAGTTCGGGTTGGGGGGGACCCTTGGGCCCCTCTCAAAATGCCCTCTATCGTAAACAACTTTGAAAATACTGAAATAACACAGGCTAAACCACACAACAAGTATCATTGGATTTACTATTCTGATTTGAATCATTTGGGTGACATTGTATTTTCAAGCGCGCATCAAAAGACAACATGGTAATTTTGCGCAAGATTTATTGAGCATGCATCAAAAGACAACAAGATAATAATTGCATGCAAGATTTGATCATGGGTCAATGTACAGTGTTGATATATTATATTTGAGGGATGTTGTATTATTGAGCGCGCATGAAAATACGATATTACTTGGGAGAAGCATCAGGGATGATATTATATATATATATAACCAACTAGTTCGGACTTGAGTGATGTCAGATTTTGGAGCATGCAAAAAACAATGGCACATGCATGTTATCATCATATTCTTAAGCACACACAGAACTGACATTTGTGGAGTTTCGGGAGAAGTCCAATATTTTGAGTGATGTCGTATTTTCAAGCTCGCATGGAACTATAACAATGGGAAATTGACTCATGTTGTATTTCTGAGCGCGCACAAAAATACGATAGGTACATAAGAAATGATATTTCTGAGCATGAATATAATTACAACCCATAAGTCGGCTCACATCATATTATTTCCAAGCACACACAGGACAACAACAATTGGACATTGGGTCGTGTTGTTTTTCTGAGTGCACACAAAATGCGATACATGGGAATTGGCCCTGTGTCATTTTTTTGAGCATGCATGAAAATACATACAATCATGGGAGGGAAGTTTAATGTCATATTTCCGGGGTGCACACAAAAATACAACATGAGCTAAGTTCTTATATGTTGTACTTTTGTGTGTGCTCAGAAATATGGCATTGGCATGACCCAATCTGTCGTATTTTTGTGCTCGCTCAGAAATACAACATGACCCAATGACCCAGTGTTGTATTCCTGAGCGCGCACAAAAATACAACACATGGGGACAAGGTCTTCTGAACCCATATTGCCCTCAGACCTGAAACAATCGGTTGGGACTGCACTTGCCACCAACCAGTAGCAGCTTCCCCATATTTTCAACAAGTCTTTTTAGTGACCCCAGTGGTGAGGACTATAGCCAGCAAAACAATCCTTACACATGCTGTATGCTCGACTCTATGTGTCAAGTCCCCACCACCATGAGAGTCCAAAGCCTCTTTGGCACCTGCACCTGTCTGAGTGCCCTATTGGAAATGTCAAGAAGCAAAAGTGATGATACTGCTATTGCCATAAATTGCACTTTTGTTCATAAGCGTTTGGCACGCTGAGGTCAATTTTGGGACCAGGTGACAGAGCCCCCATAGATGTCCCCATGAAAGTCCAAGGTCCCTTTGGCCCTTGCATGCATTTGATATGCCTACCAGAGATGTCATGAAGCCAAAGTGATCATGAGGTTATCGCCATAAATTTCGCTTTTGTTTATTAGCATTCAGCATACTAAAGTCAATTTTTTGGGCTGCCAGGGACCCCCCTACCTCCTTACCGGTCCACACAATGCAAGTCTTTCCCCTAGTCGAATCCACAGAGGTTAGGGAGGACCTAATCTAAAGAGAGAGGTGTGTACGTTAGAAGGGTTAAACCTTGCAAATGCGGAGTTTGCAGATATAGAGACCAGACCCCTATCAAATTCCTTGTCTCTATGTAGGCCAAAGACCTCGAGACTCCATGGACCAAGTACAGTGAGTTTTGGATGACCATTGATTGCAGTTGTGCCCAGGACAATCACCAAAAGCTGCGTTTTTGAGCCTAAACGTCAATTTTGCGTACATCAAGGCCTATATATGGGGTCCATAAGTCAAATACGTTCCTTAAATGTTGGAAATCCATTTCAGAATGATAATGAAAGTTGTCAGAGTTGATCATAGGATTCCAATGAGCTCTTGAATGCCAAGATTGGTGGAAAACTCAAATACCTAGGATTCACCCTTCAAAGGGCTTCAAGTGTCAACACCTGGTCCCTGTTCAGAAACAGTCCTGTGTGTATTTGACCCCGGTAGTCCATACTACTGCTGATGTATGGGACAGCTGAATTTTTTCCTTTTATGGGTTGTGGGAATTTCTTTTATATGGGTGGCTGTGCTGGCTGACCAGCTGATCCTTGGCCACTGATCAGCTGGAGGGGAGCTGATTGGAGCTAAATGTATGGGTGGCTGTGCTGACTGACCAGCTGATCCCAATACCTAGGATTCGCCCTCGAAGGGGCTTCGAGGGAAATTCCCACGAAAAATTGAATTGATTTTTCATTCTCACGACCCCTTCGAGGGAATTCTCACGGGGCTTCGAGGCATTCAATTTTTGAATGACCCGGCAACTCCCTCTATCCTCATCGTCTACCTTAGCATCCTTGTCACTCATCACTTCTTCCTCACTGTTTCCCACGTTCTTCGCATACTTTTATATAATCAATTTGTACCTCTCAATACCTTCTGAAATATAAAATTTGAGACTGAATTGACTAGTAGATTATCGAGAAATGCAAAAAATTTCGCGAGAAATTCAAGACAAGCGTCGGTCCAATGCCTCAACTATTCCTGAAACAATGAAACTTGTGGAATATGTGGACCCCTATGTCGCCCAAAGGGGTCTTGCTACTGTTTCCCATGGTGTTCAGAGACTTTACATAATCAATGATATCAAATTTGAAACTGAATTGATTAGTAGATTATCGAGAAATTCCCACTACTCCATAGCGGGTCCTATGCCCCAACTCAATTATCCTATGCACACGGTCCTCTATGACCCCCAAACCCAGGGTCCATTCTCTGCCCATACAGTTCTATTCCTCTCGCTGTGTGGCTGCAGTGTAAATTACGTGGTTCTGAAATAAGAGTATGTGGTGGGTTTACAGAGCGAGAGCAAATCTCAGGCTTCGTCTCAGCCAATAGCAACATTGAGAGTGAACATGCATGCGGGGTAAGAGTAGCGGGATCTGCCGCTTCAGGCGGTGTTCCCCAGTTATTCAAAAAAATTCGCAAGAAATTTTAGTACATTTCCATGTTGCAACCCAACACCGTTCAACACTGTAAACCTGTAGCTCATGAGTGGGTAAGGTGAGGCAACCAATCAGAGTGCTTCAATCGCAACTCTCCCCAGCTTTTAGTATATGTAGATATTATATGATTCCTCGATCAAGTAATGTTAAACTGCCCCACTGAGATGTCGGTTACCATAGTGTGATTAGTCATCTCGAAAGACGTTGCAACCCAACCCAACGCTTTTGAACCATTATGGCAGCACCAAGAAGGTTTTTCGTCTTTCAAAAGTAGGGCATCACAATGATTACACGGAGTCGTGTTCCATGGTGTGGAGAGAGCAGGGGGGTTCCAGGAGTGTAGGTATGCGAAGGATCCAGTGTTGGATCTTCTACGACGTACGGAAGTGGATGGTTCAAGCGAGTTCATGATGTTTTCTGAAGAACAGGCAGGGTGCACTAACAAAGAGTTTCATTCGGGTGGAGCGACATTATATACACAAATCAAGAGTACAATAGCATAGAGACAAACACGGAAAATTGGAAGGGACGTTCATGACCCTCATTCTGCATTTAGCACTTAATGCGTTTGTTGCTGCTCTCCGCATCGTCATTGTCATGATCGTCTTCCCAATCCTTGGGACTAAGCACGGATGTGGTAGTGACGTCATCAGCGGAAGTCGCGGGTTCTCGATTAAACAGGCTCCTTTTTTTGTGCGGGGCAGTGGCAGAAGAAGTGGAAGCGGAGGAGCGTAAGTACCCGATGTCTTCCAACTTGAAGCGGGCAACGTTGTCGTGGATGTCATGAAATCGAGCAGTGGACAGGAGTCGCAGTGGGTGGATAGTAGAAGTTTTTCCATCGCGTGGTAGACGGAATGAGAATGGTGACAGAAAAGTTAAGGACGGATTTGGACTGTATGTACATCATGAGCGGATTGGGTGGTGTGGTGAGTGGAAGACACATACCACAGCCTGGTATGCACCAGTGGCCAATGTGAACCAACGATCGCCAGTGGCAGTACACAAGCCCGTGAAGTCGAAAAAAGCGTTGGTGTCAGTAACGGGACGCATGTCCTTCCCCGGATTGTTGCTGAGCAACACAGTCAAGGAGGAGAGGGAGGAGGTGGCGATAAACTCCCCATTGACAATGCGAGGGATGAAAGAGCCGCGAACAAATAGCAGATCACCGAGCGAAGGAGGCAGAATGGTAGTCGATTATAGGTTAAATAAACCCACTGGTTCGGGTTGGTGTATGACCCGTGTCGATGCCAAAGTCCCCCATGGTCGTAGTAGGATTTCCAAACTTCCAGCAAAAGCAGTCATCCCCTAGCATCTCAGATCCTGCTCCTTGTATAGGAAAAAAAAAAGACTGGTCTGTGGTCGTATTACTTCCATCTATAAGTCAAAATGTAAAGGTCAATATTCATGCTTGCAAATAATAAGATAACCTGGTCGGTTTTTGAAGAATGATGTTGCAAGGTTGTATTGGTGTTCGCGAGCATTAGTACGACTTCCACACTGACTTGACATATTTTTTCACATTTTCTAAACTCATAATTTCCATCCACAAGTCAAATGTTGTTATATTCCTGCTTATAAATGATAAAATAACCTTGGTCAATTTTTGAGGAATAATTATTATGTGGCAAGGTCGTATTGATGTTCGTGAGCATTAGTACGACCTCCACACTGACTTGACATATTTTTTCACATTTTCTAAACTCATAATTTCCATCTACAAGTCAATGCTAAGGTCAATATTCACGCTTGCAAACAATAAGATAACCTGGTTGATTTTTGAAGAATAATTATTAGGTGGCGAGGTTGTACTGATGTTCGTGAGCATTAGTACGACCTCCACACTGACTTGACATATTTTTTCACATTTTTTCAAACTCATTATTTCCATCTACAAGTCAAACGTTACAGTCATATTCAAATGCTAGCAAACAATAGGAAACCAGTCAATAATTTGAGGAATAGTGATTATGTGGCAAGGTTGTATTACTGTTCGCGAGCACTAGTACGACCTCCACACTGACTTGGTATATCTTCACATCTTTCCAAACTGATGCATACGGTAAGGTTGTATTCCTGTTTGCAAGCGCTAGTATGACCTCTGGACAAACTTGGCTAGATGTGTTGTGCAACTGTTATCTTCATTTTGTTTACAGGGCCATACTGATGTGTATGCACAATGATAAGGTAGCAAACATGAATGAGATTGCAAAAAAATGGCTATCAGTTGGGTCGTATTGTTGTTCGCGAACATGGATACGACCATGCCTGCATGAAAACACAGTTGTGATTGTGGTTGTACTTATGTACACAAATAATATATGATGATGACCAGGTTCTCAAGAGTATGGCTAGAGGATGCGATGACGTTTGCGTGGACGGGCACTCACCCCAGGATTTTCATCATCATCATCTGATGACTCTGAATCTTCACGTAGGGATTGTTCTGAAGCCTTGTGTCTCAATGAGTTGGAAGGGACACGCATCTTAAAGGCTGGGACCCGGAATTTCTCTCCTATGTGTAGTCTGCGGCACTCATCACCCAAGAAGTGACGCACTGCACAGAACACAGGACACATGTGTGCTGGTTGTGCCAGGTGCTTGTAAACAGTTGCCAGCCCAGCTCCAAGCGTTGCCTTTGTATGGAGTTCCAGTCCTTCAGAAAGCGGCTTCCTGGTTTGAAAGCATTGGGACTGCAGGCCTCCACCAGATTGAGTCGGGCGAGGATAGCCACTGTGATTCCTTTCCGCTCTGTGAAGAATAAATAATGATTATTTGTTAGCTCCTCTAAGCCAGTGTGAACATAAGTGGGAGGACATACGTAGTTTGGTATGAAAAGCACTCATCATATTTGTATTCTCCTCCTGCTCAGGTGTACGGGATGCCTTTTTGATTGATTGAGTCCGCACTTTTCGTTCCTCCCTTTGCCACCAAGGACTCTCCTCCACTACAATGGCTGAGATAAAGATCAGCCACAGGTGGAAGAGTGGCACTTTGGCTTTCCATCCTGATTGAGTTGTCCAATATTCGTGATCCCATACAAGGCTGTGTGCATACTCCACCATGTTTGCGCCTTTCTTG